GCCGGTGTATGTCTCTACACCACAGCTCCTTGGTGTTGCCAGATGGGAAGGGCCAGCAAAACCCCACGAGCTCCATGTCCTCCTTCCTTAGAAATGTTTGGTTTATTCCTTAGCACTGCATCTCCTGGAGCCCTGGGATTCTGGCAGCCTTTTGGTTTGGTTGGAGGATTTGCTTTTTTAAGGACTTCTTTTAATCCCTTTGTTTGCTTGGGGACCTTTCAAGGTGGAATCCTAAAACGGATCAGGAATTAAAAGGCAAACAAAAAATACTTTTAATAATTCACTGATAGGTAAACTTGTCTGGCAGCTTTTGAATGTAAGCATGCTAAACTGCACTTGTAGATGGACAAAGGAAGGCTACCGTTTTATATTATAAGCATAAAAACATATCCTTTATTAGAATTACAAGTTTCTTTTCCCTTCTTTTTTTTTTTTTACAAATAACAGTAATAATTCTCTCTAATGAAGGTAGAGGTCATAGCAATGCTTATTCAGTCTTAGTAAGAGGAGTTCTTGCAGCTTTTGTGCATGTTTGGATGGGCTTTCTTTGTCACTATATCTATAATATGTATTTATGGTTGTTTAAAGACTCGAATAGTTCATGGAATAAATTCTGACATGCTGTAGCTAGGAGCCCTGTGGGTTTTCATTATACTATTGATTAAAAAGCCCACAACTACACAGCAAAGATAAAGGACAGAATTGGGAACTGGGCGGAAATACCTTTTGCTCCATACAAATAATTTCACATTTTTTTTTTATAGGAGTCTTGGCTTTTTTTTTTCCTCAAGATAATCTCTGCCTTTGTTTGAAAAAGGTTATTGATTGGATTGTTAACTTAAATAGTCTGTGGCGGGTGTGACAGAGCACATGGCTGCAATTAATCTTGTGATGCAAAATCCATTATTGAAGAAGCACTAATGAGCCGTTTGCAGGCCTTGGCTGGTCACAGAGCGCCTGGGAGCAGCAGATTGCTGCTGCCCTTTAATGTCAGTTTTGGTCTTTAGTGTTGCACAGGCAGTGTAAGCAGAAGAGAATATTTGATTTTTTTAAGGGTGTTTCCATTTAAATTCTCCTTACTACCAGCCTGCAATTGTACCGAGTGCGGGAGTCATGAGATGGTTGCTGAAATGCTTTCACCCCCCATTCCTCAGTTCAGGTGTTCAATGGACATAGTATACAATTAAAGCCAGCGGCATGTGAAACGCGGATGTCACGGTAAAATATGGTCTTGGTCGCAGAGTTCAGATCCAGATGAGAGTTTTGACATAGATGGGAGAGCATTCAGGGCTGATCTATACTTTAAAATATTGCTCTAAGACAAAGGGATGAGCTGTTGGAGACCCGCTCTCTGCAAATTTTATTGTCTCTGTTGTTTATAGCTATTGCGGCATAGCAAAAGTTTAGGTAGAGAATAGTTATGGTAGATTAGAAACTGTCGATGTTAACATATTGCCTTCTCCTTCAAGAGAACTGCTCCCTGGGTATATTTTAGAGGTCTGTCTATTGACTTCAGTGGCACCATAAATATGTGTTACTTCTTCTGTTAGATGCGTGGAGCTGATACAGACATGTGAGAGTGATCGGGACTTCTCCCGGGCTGAGGTGCTGCCTGAATTATAACCGAGTTCCCACTGCAGACTGCTGCACACCTTAACCATAGGGAATGCAGTTTATCACAAGATTAGCGAAATAGAAGTATTTCTTCATCCTGACCACATAACTGATGAAATTAAGCAAGAAAATCCTTCCTACTCTCTGGTTCATGCACTCCCATAGTATCTGTTACTATGGAACTGCAGTTTTAAATGCTCTTTGTGTAAAGGAAAATTGTTCATGAGCTGAATCAACCTTTGTATTTTTTAAATGGATTTGGATCTATCGACAGTAACCTGCTGTATGCAGCTTCAGGGCTTCCTCCTCTTATATTTTCTGTGGAGGAAATGCCAAGGTGTGAAACAGGGATGGTGTTTACTAATGCAATGCCAAGAAGTCTTGAGTGTGTGAATTTCCCCTTGGGTTATGAAAAACACTGGGTTTTGAACCAAAGTAACTGGAAAACACAGAGATTGAGATGAAGACAGAGCAGGGGAAAGTATTTTCACGTTTTAAGTGTCCACTGGCATGCTTACCATATGCTGCAGTGCCTCACTGAGCTACTGGCATAATTCAAAATAGTCTTTCCAACAACATTAAGTTTGGGTCATGGAACTACAAGGCATGTTATTTAATGTGATAGAGAATATGACTTGGAGACAGAAAGAGATGTCCATGAGGCTTTCTTTCTGCCTCAGGCATATCTTGAGAGTAGACTATGGCTGTGCAGATGTCACTGTGGGCATTTGTTGGACTCCTTCATCATCACAACATTTGGAGAGAGAGGCCAAAGTGTAAATGAGTCGATGTTTTTTTGCAAAAGATTCTTTCTTTGCTATTAAAAAGTTGTCACGGCAGCCCTTACTCTACTATTAATGTTTTTTAAGAGATCTTCAGCTCACAGAAGTCCCATTCTTTTAGTCTTTGATGAGCACAGTGCTTAAGAAAGACTCTACAAAATAGGATGGATCACTTCAAGGATGAGGCACGGTTGATAGCAGACACAGCACAGGAAACCTGCAGAGGTATTTCTGAGGAGAGTGAGAAACTAAACAGTCAAGATGGATAGCTGGAAGAGAACAGGAATGAGTGTGAAGGGGCAAAAATAAAGCAATGAACAGAACCTGACCTTCATTTGGGAAAGGGAGTCTCTGGCTATAGTCTGCAGTGAGCAGTGTGTGCACGCAGGCAAGTGAGCACGTAAATGCATGTATGCAATTAACTTTGATTTATTTCTGTAGGTTTGATTCCATTCTTTCTGTTTCTTTTCAAATGTGACTGAAGCTATTTAACTCTCTGATTAATTCACACCCCGTATGAGTTGTTTTCTTTGATATACTCCAGCACTGCACAACCTTTCTTGATGCAGACTTGCTGCCATTGGGATGAATTCCTCCCTGCTGTGTAGTGTGACCCATTTGTTCTCTTCAGTGGCACTGAAATGAGGTTCTGCATTTGCTGTAAATCAGATCTGGAGGATTATTTCAGTGTTATGTTGGGTTCTGTTAGTATTATACAAGGTCCCCTCAGCAAGAAAAAGATCATGTCACAGGATCTCTTTCCGGACAGTTGTGACTGCAGGGTCCCCAGAATTTCAGTTTGGACTTGGTCCTATGTAAATCTCAGTAAAATGTGACTCGTTTTTTTGCTGACATCTCAAGGCACCCAAAAGGTAGCAATCTTCTTAACTCGTCAGTACACACTTCTTTGTTCAAAGGCTTAGAAGAATGGTATGAACACATCTCCTTTGCTTTATGTTCAATTCATAACTTATGTACGCACATTTCATTGCTGAACGAGCTTAGTGGTTGTATCTCTGCCATGTGAATGGAGCTGGAGAACCAGAATCCTTATTCCACCATTTTGTGACAGCTTGGGCACATAAAAGAAATATATTTCTCATGCATTACAGTTAAGTAATGCAAGTGTTTGCTTTGCTAACTAGAAAATGTAGATGGTGTTTATTCTTGTGGGCAATGTGACGGCATGACAAAATACCACTGATAGATCTGGTAATGAAGACAGCGCATCAGTGTGTACATCTCCACTAGCCATGCCTTCCTTTTCTTCTTATCAGAGAAACAGCTCTTTTTTTCTCCACTCTTAAAAAGAGACACTCAAGCTCATGGAGGTGGAAAAGATTTTTTCTACCTATTGGCTGCTGTCTAGGAACAGCGGATCTGCTAGTGGTGAAAAACGCCTGTACACTCAATGGCGTAAGTTTCTACAAGAAGCGTGCGGTAGTGCCAGATGTGGGACCTGTATTTCTAGGCTTTCTCTGCCTGTAGATGAGCAATTGGAGAGCCCTGTCCCATTTTCCCTGCCGCTGATTCTGCACATTGCACGTGCTTATATGTGCCAGAGAGAGATATAAATGCAGGGCTTTCCAAACAGGCAAGCAACAGCTTATTGCAGGTGACTTAGAGACCGCTTCACCTGGATAGGGGTGGTTTGGGAGTGCTGTGCTTTATTTCAGTAGCATATTTTTCTTGTTTTGTTTTGCAGAAGGAACACTGATCCTACCTTTGGTTTGTTTGTTTGCTTGTATTTTCCCCTCCAGACAGCCCATTGCTGACCCTGCTACTGTGATACCGCTGTTTTGCAAAGCTGGAGTCCACAAGCATGTAGGGGCGGGGGTTGTGACTCTGGCAGTTTGTCCTTCCCCTCTAGATGTGACTGTTCTGCTAGCTTTCCCTTCTTTATTCCTTTCATTTAGTTCACTGTGGGAGTTGGCTTGGGGTGTTTTCCTTTTGGTTTCTTGTTTTGATCCTGGAAGGTTAGCCGTGCAATTTGGTTTCTTCTGTGCCAATCAACTTTAGTGGCAGAGCTCTTAAAAAACTTGAAAGCTGTATCCCTCCATCTTGTCTTACTTCTTCTCTGTATGCTACTGCTTCCAATTAAGCCACGTTTACAGAACTGCTCCACCCATTTGGACACCAGGAAGGGAAGCTCTGAAATGGAGAATAATCTCATTTCCACTAGGTCCTTCAGTCCAGTTGAAACAAAGGTAATTGAAACCATAGTCCAATTTCTGTTGAGATGGATGGGCTCTTTCTGAAATTGGGTTTGTTTCTGATTTCATCCTCTCTCTTCCTTTCTTTCAAAAAACCAAACCAAAAAACACGAAACACCAAAACAAAAAAAAATGAAGACAAAGCCAAACTATTTTTAAGAGCTCTGAATAAAACTGCTTTGCCAGTGGGATTGGGTGGGAATGACTCTGATTTTCTCTTGTGCCCGGCAGCGAAAGGGTTAATGCCTGCTTTTCTCTTTGGTATCTGTTAGTTGCAGCCCATGTTGTGATCAGTCCACGTCCATGTGCATTTTGTTCCCAAATTAATGCCGGTTAATTGACAATACGTAAGCAAGCCTTAACCATGACCGTTGTTTCCAATCTTCCTCAGGACACCCGACCTGCCTGCAGTTCACCACAAACATGACTGAGGCTGTTAAAACCTATCAGTGGCAGTGCATTGAGTGCAAATCCTGCAGCCTTTGTGGCACTTCTGAGAATGATGTGAGTTGATTTACCTTTTCACGCCAATAAGTGTCACTGCAAGCTGCTGTCATGTCCGCCTTGAGAAGCATGTGGCAGTGGTGTGGGTCCTGGCTTTTCTGCTGCTTCCATGCATATCCTAGGATGGCCCACCCCTGGGAGCAGAGCTGGGCTCTTCCCAGTGACCTGTTCAGCTGCTCATCTCTGATGAACTTATCATGGGTATTACATAGGGCCACCTGAGATGCTGATATGCTTATTCAATAGAAATTAGCATTGTGGCAGGGAGCTGCCAAAGAGTAGTATCTCCAACACTGTAACCAGGAGTAGGTCTAAATGGGTGATAACCCCAGAGATGGCAGGTATTTTTCTTCTGTCTCTGATTTTACTTTCTTGGTTCAATTTTAAGATTTTAATTATAATACTTGGGAATGGAAACATTTGGATCTATACACCTAACTACTAATTCCAGGGATTTCCAAATGATCCAGAGTCTGCAGCTGAACAGTATCCTTTCTGTGTTTTTTTTTTGTTTGTTTTTTTTTCTTTCTTTCTTTTATCCCGATGCCAAAAATCCTTGATAGTCTGTGAGGAACTTGGAGAATTGACTGTGGCTGAAGAACTTTAGAAGCAGTAGTTTAGACTACATTCCATATAGCAAAATGAATGTGAAGCCTGAGAGTTCATTTTGCTTTAGTGGAAGGTGAGAAAATCTGAGAATAGGGACTCTGTGTTAGGAGTCAGAGGATACTTCTGAGAAGCATTTTTCTCCCCGTGTGAGTGAAAGAGCTGCAGGCCATGAGATAGGATTGTGTTATTCCCATCTACTTCACAAAGCATTTGGTACTCAGCTGAGTTTTGGATAACTGGCTAAGTCCAAGCTTTTGATGAGAAAGGTTTCGTGTGAAAGCATCCAGCATCCAGAGCTTGGCTGTGCTAACCCCACAGTGTGGGGATGCCAGTCCTCTTCTCTCAGTGCAGAATATCACTGACCTAGCAGCCTTTGGTCCTACATTGTGAGGCTGCCTCGGAGAGGAAGCCCTCTGGCCCTCAGGAAGGTTTTCCAATTAAAAGTGGATCTGCCTTTGTGGTGAGTTAGGGCTCTTTGTGGCCTCTCAGGAATATGATGTTTGATGTCTTGGGCCCACAGACATGGTAGCTTTTACCTACCCCACGGTCTCTTAGTCTCTGTGTTGCAGCTCTGTGTTCCTAGCTGAGCACTGCTGGTTACCATGCTTATGTCTTCAGCTTGGCAAGAGACTAATTTACATCATTTTCTCTCTCTCTTCTCCTCTCCTTCTCTCCCTTTTCCCCTCTGTTTCTCCGACAACCCTGCCTCAGGACCAGCTGCTCTTCTGTGATGACTGTGACCGTGGCTATCACATGTATTGCTTGAATCCACCAGTCTTTGAGCCCCCCGAAGGTAACATATGTCAGAAGTCTGCTTTGAAAATCACAATGAAGTCCTTGTGGAAAAGAGGTTCAGAAAGTTGGCCAGGATCGTGCAGGGTTAAGGAAGCAGTAGCAAAGGAGAAGCAAGCAGTGCTGGGAAGAAAGCAAATCAGTAGACTTTGAGGGCTGGTGTGATCTGAGATGTCCTCTGCAATCTTGTCTGATCTCTCCTTCCTCTTCCCAAACACGGCTCTTCTGCAGGTCGTGGGTGCCTTTGGATGCCCCAGATGGCACTGGACACCTCAGTTCAGGCAGCTGGGTTAAGCTCCTATGAACAGTGACTTTAGACTTCCAAAGAAGTCAAGATCCCAGAGAGAAAGAGCCAGATGAGGAGGTCCTTTCTGGAATAGCTGAGTGTTGTCAGGAGACTGGATTAGGAGAAAAACTTTCGTTTTCTGACCTGTCTCTGTCTTGGAAGGACAAGAGTTTTAAGGTCTATATCACATTCAGTGTGCAGTTTTGTCCTCTGATGAGGATTCAGTCTGAATTTACAACTGCTGGTTATAGTTTGCCACTTAGTTTTGGAGCAGAAGGATTAGTCCCTTAACATTACTGATTCTCTAACTTAAATCTGCAGAGAGCAGTAGAACTGGAGGAGACATCTGAGTGCAATGGCTGTAATTTACATGAGGGATGAGACAAGAATAATTACAATAAATCTTACCTGCAGCAGCTAAATATTTGTAACTTTGAGAAATAGGAGGCTAAGGAGTGGAGAATTTTGAAATGGTGGTAATAATTAGGTAAAGGCTGCTGTTTGACTGGGAGGTAGTGTATTGGATGTGTCAAAATATGAAATACCTATAATCAGAAATGCACATCCCAGCTGTGTTGTAACTTGTGTAGACAGCCCTCATGCATGCCATCCAGGGCAACAAAGCCGGCTTCAGGCACATGCAGGCAATCCCAATATCAGAAATAGCTGATATCCTATTCAAGGCCATGTTGGCCTAAAGTCTGAGTATCTGGCTTTGGTGTCATAAGAAAGATTTCTTCATTTGCAGGGAGTTGGAGTTGTCATTTGTGCCGGGAGCTGCTCAGAGAGAGAGCATCAGCTTTTGGCTTCCAGGCCTGAGGAGCTCCAGCAATCAAGAAACACTTTGCTCCTGTTGTTGGCATACCAGCACACAATTCCCATCCAGAACACAAAGACACAACCCACATCAAAATGAATGGACACTCAAGTACAGGAAGAGGTATCTGTGGTATTCACTGTCACTGATGCAGAACCTCCTGGGCTCTACTAGAAGGATCACGTACTTTCCCGATGCTCCAGATGAAATCTCTTCAGTGCTATGCATGGTTGCTGCTTACCATTATGGGCTCACATAGATTATAGGAGGGGGAGGGTTGTTATATTGATATGAAGAAGTCAATTTTGTGTGGCTTTGTGCTTCCTGTTTAGTTTTCTTCTGAAGGAGAAATAGTAAGAAATCTCCCAAGGATTTGTTGGTGAGTGCTTTGGTGGGAAGCAGCACCAGTTGTTACTGCACAGAGCTTGCCTGGAAGTCCCTTTACTGCAACTGCTGTGTATTCTTAGGGTGGCTTTGCGTTGCATTAGTTCAATACTTCCCATGTTGTGAATGATGTGTTGCCACCAAGAAAAGCACCGATGAGAACTGGGGGAGTGACACTTTCTCTCTTGGAGCAAATGCTTTGAGTTGGCAGGTCTTCAGACATCTGGTTTCAGTGTTTCTGAAGGAAGAGCAGTGCCAGCATGAACATACACAGACGCTTAAATGCTGAGTTTGGTATTTTTGGATATTCAGGCACACCATCCCACTCTGGTGCTATCATGCAGTTCAAATGCATCGTTTTATTTTTACTGAAAAAAAATTGTGAGTGGTTCTGCATGTAACTGATTTGCTGTCCGGCTCAGAAAACTGAATGAAAGAAAACTGTGATTTTAAGTTGGTCATGGAAAATAGAGGTTCCAGTTTTCTAAGCAATCTAAAGTAAGATGAAGATAGGAACATTGGCATAGGTCACATGAAGCACTTTTGATGATTTTTTTTTTCTGATTTCTAAATGAAAATATTCTGCAATTGAAAGCTGAAATTTTATTTTGGGAATTGCCTAATCAGAACTTCCACATTTCCAGAGCTATACTGTTCTGGTTTTTTTTTTTTTTTTAAATCAAAATAGTTATCAAGATTTGTTGAATTTTCAAATCATTTTGCCCCCAAAATCTCTGTAACTGCATTTTTGGCAGAAGCCTTATCAAGCTCCCGTGAAAGGAATCATTTACTTGAACCTAATATCAAAAGAAAGATTTCATAGTTATTTTAAAATTTAAATAGGAATAGTTGTACTTTGTGCAAACAAACCTCTGCATGTGAAATGGAGAAGCGTTAAGCGAGAGCATCAATTGAAAAAGTATTTTCACAGTTGAGTCCCTGTGATTAACTTAAGACATCGCCAGGAGGACAAGTGAGTACATTAAAACATTTTTATCCGATGCATCTTTTAAGGTTAAAAACATGCAACTCCCCAAACAGCCAAGTAGCCCAGAATGACCATTTTTGTGGGTGTGATTTACATTACTATCTATGCATAGCTTAAAGAGGGATTAAGATACACATTTATGAGAGTCCCAAGCAACGCATGATTTAAGTTGCCTGTACAAGTAGGTAAGAGCACAGAAGGTTATATTTGGGATATTTATTCTGGTTGAAACTTTTCTGCAAAATGAAATGTCCCTGAAAGGACACTGTGAAAGAGTAGCAGTGAACTAATTTTTCTTTTTTTCTCCTGCTAATTACACTTAGTTAGAATGAACTATACTGACCTAACGCACTTTTCCTTGTTATTTAGATAGTTTGTTCACGTTTAGTGTTTTGTTCAGCTTACAGTAGTTGTGCCAGCTGTTGGATTCTCCCATGTGGCTCTCACGACGTTGTCTCAGACTGCAGTGGGAGTACTTTAACCTGTTAGAAAAGGGGTTTAGGAAGTGTTTATCCTAGTCGTATTGGACCAAATTCCTCCAGGAGTAGCCACAGTGGCTACCCGTGACATTCATTCAATACATTAACTTTCTGTGTGACACTCTTGGGTGAGCCAAGAGTATAAAGATATTTGAGCATCAGATGTAGGACCTGTCTGCATGAGGTGTCTGGTGCCTGTCTGGACAAAGCTGTAAAACAAATGTCAAATGAAGCTTCTTTCTCCCTGTCCAAGGAACTGCCAACTCCTGTGGTCCCATTCTCACTGCTGAGCTGCTGTCACCCAGTCTGATGGCTGGCCCTGAGGACATGTCCCGGTGGTAGTGCATGATCCTGGATGTATGGCAGCATGGCCTGAGCCACGTACAGAGGGATCTGCCCTGAACCTGGCAGCAGTTAAGGGCCACAGCTCCTCTTCAGGAGCTTTGGCACCTATTTGATCTGCTGATCTGGCACTTTGGGACCACTGCACAGTTTGTGCTGCTGCTCTGACTAGGAGGGCAAGTATGTGCTTGGCAGAGAAGCTGTTCAACTGTGTCATATAAAAGTGTAGTGGCAAGAGAGACAGGAACTGGGAGTGAGAGTGCTGGATGGAAATTCTGTGATGGAGCTGATGATGAGAGCAGCAGAGGTAGCTTCTGGTGTTCAAGTTGGTGCTCAGCTGCCTGGGATGCTGGGCTTAGTGAGCTCCAATATAGTGAGCTGTTGCCTTCACATTTGCTAGTATTTGTGTTGACCTTGGGGCAGAAGAAGAAAAATGCTTATTGCTTTAGCCTACATTTAGGCAGACAGCAGTGGCTTTGTATCTAAGCACCTGGTAGACCTTTGTATGATGTTGGTGGGAGTGACTGGTACAGAAAGTCAGTGTTCTGTCTCTGAAATGAGACACTGACCAACGAGCTGTGCTTTTCATGCATACCTGCTCTCCTATTTTATCATTTTGATCCGTACCATGGACTATTTTTTTTTCTCCCACACCACAGTGAATACTGTATTTCATGTTTGTAAATATTTTTCAGTGACATTGCTGAAGTTTCACCACTAACAAGGTATGATGGAAGGATGGATTGCTAGATCTCCTGCAGTAAAATATTGTCCAAGCTCAGTGAAAGAGGGAACTTATCCATGGTAATCTCTTCAGCTCCATGCTGTAACGTAGCCAGGAAGCATCAGGTAACTCTCAGCAGCAAATGAAATGCCAGCTGTCCCATGCTGAGGGCATCCTCCAGCTGCACACTCCCTACTTCTTGAGCTCTCTCTTAGGGAAGAGGCTGGTACATTCCTCCCAGGGACGTTGTTAGCATGCGTTCAGAACTGTACATCTTGCTGCACTTCTGAAATACTAATCAAGCTCCCAAGTGTTTGATGCTGTACCTGTTTTACCAAGATGTGAGGAGGTGATAGCACAGTCAAGAAGTTCAGAACCTCAGAGAACCACTTCCCTGCCATCAGAGTACCATTCCTATATGGCCATTGGGGTGAACTGCTTTGGCACAGCCAGGCATATCTTGAACTAGCATGTGACTGATGCGGTGCTGGCAGCAAGCAGTCTGAGGACCCTGACTCCATGAGCTTCTCTTTCTTCTTGAGGTAGGATGTGCAACGCTGCCCACAGAGCAAGTGCCTGTTGTTGACATTGGCAGACTGTGGTGGGTTATTCATGGGCAGGTGGTTCCTTTCAGCTTTACAAAATGAACCAGTTCATTAGGTAAATGTTTGTGGTGTGGTGAGCAGGACAGCCAGGAGACATATCACCTGAGAGCTAACAAAGCTAAGTGGGCAGGGAAAGCTGCTAGACAAAAGCATGTTGGGTTTCCGTTTAAACAGACAATCTGAATTGAGACAAAATTCAAGGTACTGTGATCCTTGTCCACTCTGGAGACAACTAGAGAAATGGAATTTTTCTTTTTTCTTTGTTTGTTTTTTAACCAGTGATGGACTTGGTAAATTGCCCATGTACCTGCTCTCTTGTGTGGTGGGATTCACACTCTGGGATTTGTTGCCAGCCTTTCAGGTGACATGTTTTGAAGCTCTCTGTGTAGGCAAGGCAAGCTGTATATTAGCTCAAATTAGGACAGACGGCGTTAGATTCTGCATCCCTCAAGTCTTCAAATCAAGACTGGGACTGTTCCCACGAGACGTATTTTAATTAGACACAATTTTAGTTAAACACAGGAATGTCAGACTGAAGAAGGTTTGTGCTGTAGAAGAAGCTAGACTAGATGATGTAATTGTTCTTCCTGTCCTTATTGTAAAAACAGATGTTTACTGGTCAAGGGGATGTATTCAAATAAAGCTGTCTCTGGATAACAGACTTAAAATATGTTAGTTTAGCATATTTATGAAATCCTTCTCATTTTAACCCATTTTGGGTGACAAAAAAAAAAGTCACTTATGGAAAATCAACTTTATGGATGCAGTAAATAGTGCAATACATCTGTCATGGCCACAGTGGCAGCTGCGTTAGTGCCAGGTATGACAGAGAATGAACAATTCAGACTGCATTGTGTGAAAATGCCACTTGGTTCTGGCTTTCCCCCATAGGTGTTTGTGCAGGACTGCCCCATGTGTGCCTGTGGTGGCTGGGGAGTGGAGCTGCAGAAAATTTGAGACTTTCAGAATGAACGTGACCAGCAAGCAGGGCTGTCATTAGTGTGGACCTGGTGTCTCTAAGTGGAGTTGGGAAGTGTTGGGCTTGTTTCCTTCCATATAGAAAAGAGTTTGCAGCACTCCTTTGAGTGGAGGAGTGGGGCTGAAAGTCCTGCCTTCCATCTGCACTGCTGGAGAGATTGGGGAGTCCTACCTTCACCTGCATCAAGGCACTCAGCAGAGTGTCTGCAGGAATGGCAAACAGCAGCCACACTGCGGGGACAGGAAGAGGAGGGATTTGGTGGGGTTTACTACTTTCTTTCATAAATGTTAGCAAGAACATCAGATGTTTTGCTGATGGGGACTCAAGCCAATAGCTTGTTAAAGTTTGCAATACATTTCTGCCACAGTGAGTGAAAATGCAAAGTACTGTTACAGCATTCACCTGTGCGTTTAGAATAAACGTTGTTACTGTTATTTTGAAATGAGGAAACTACAGTTTCCAGATCATCTTACCCTCTGTGCATGCATAACAGTGAAGCCCTTCATGCTGGTTTTTCAGGTACTGATATTTTCTTTTCAGACCATAAATTTCACTTCCACAGTGCATCAGGAAATGTTCCCTCTCTCCCCATTTCTCAGGAGCCAAGGAAGGGAAGAAGAGATTTCAGTCTTCATATTCTGAGTTATAAAGTACAACAAGTCAATTTCATGGCCACGTCCTCTCCACGTCTTGAAGGAGTGGCCTGGTTGGCTGGGAGAGAGCTCCTCCTTTGGCAGCCTAGAAGGGTCTTTGCTAGCATCTGTCTCACCTGTGCATGAGATATCTTAGTCTGGGCTTTTGTCCTCTTGGAAAGGACTCCTCCTGCTGTTGCTCTATCAATCTTTGAAAGTGCTAATTCTCATCAGAGAACTATATGCTTAAAATATTTAAAATCAGGATAAGGATTTCCTTAAATTCCTCAGGATTTTAAAGGGATGCATGTCAGAAAGGCTGACCATCACCACCACCATCTCAAGAACCGTGCTGAAGCACACGTGTTGGGTCACAGCTCAGGTGCCAGGTAATGGCTGCATTTTGATGTCCACTATGTACTGGCAGTGCAGATTTTGCCAGCAACCTTAATTGGAAAGTAGCTGCTCAAAATCAAGGGAAAGGATGTGGATGTTGTGCCCAATATACCCTTATTTCCTAGACTTCTTAGGAATATAACACGAGGGAAGTGCCCTTGCATCCTTCTCGGGAGGCTATAAGAGCATGAGGAATTTCCATGTTCTCTGCTTTGGCCTTCATTGTGGAATATCCTTCATTGTTCATCTTTGTATTTTTCTTCTCCTAAATCTATCCCTGGATTTCAGAGAAAGTGTGTACCAAAGCTGATCTGAAGGGTCTAGAACGACTCAGAAATAGAGAGGTTCAGGCTGACCACCAACTTTCACCTCTCCCTTTAGAAGTGTTCAGCAAAACCTTGATAATTGCAGGGAATCAAACTCACATGCTGACTGAATCTCAGTTCTGCGTTAAGGTCACACAATCATTCTGTTAGATTCTTTTGTAGTCATAAAATGTTCTTTAAAAATGCAGGAAGAAATGTTCCATCTTTACCTTGATGGCATTGCCTTTTTGTGCTGCTGCAGAGATCAACAGCCCTCCCTCCAGTTTACTCTGACTTTCTTCCAGCACCATAGCTTGGGTCAGCAGCAAATGGGGACAGGTCCAGGAATAATCTGTCTCATTGAATTGTGGATGTAGGGGAGACTCAAAAGCATTCAAGTAAATTGTCATCTGTGCTGATAGTCAGATCACCTAAGAATCAGAAGTTTCTGTACAAGTTAAAGTATTACCTGTTCATTATCTGCCATTTCAGGCATTGTTTTATTGTTTTTTTTTCCACTAGAAGTGGTTGCAAAGAGAAACATCAATGAGAAGTGGGTGAATTAGGATCTTTGCTGTTGAACTTCTATTTGACAGTGGGACAACATTGTCCCCATTAATCGTAAGAGGGGAAGGGAGGAGGATAAATCTGTGACATCGTAATGTGTTTCTCAGATAAAATGATATTATCAGCTTTTTAATGCACTTTTGAAATGCTCAAGAAATGATCTCAAAATAGTGGCAACCACATGAATACGTGAATGCATTGATAGAGCCTTGCTGTATGATGCTATATTATTTAATTTTAATTATAAGGAGATTTTAAGTTGTATATATTGGAACCATATTTGTGCACCATACTTATGTTATTTACTGTAAATATGGCTCACCTACCAGGAATTGATCCGAAGTCCTGTAATAGGTGTTACTGACCTTGAAACAGAAGAAGGAGCAGGAAGAAATGCCAAAGGTCTGTCAGCATTCTAATAAGGCAAAAATTAGCCCTTACAGTATAATCACTGTCATATATGGACCATGACATGGACCATTGACACAAGGAAAAGTACAAATTCACTAAAAGATAGACCAACTTCTCAGCTGCTCTCAGTCAGCATTCTTTGACTGATTTCAAGCCTAGATGCTGGCCAAGTGTCTTCAGAAGGCTCAGCCTAGATAGTATGAGCCCTTAGTCTTTGTTTAAAAATGTGCAGTTCTTACTAGTTGAGTACACCCAACGCATGCAAGAAAACAGGTGTTTCAGCCCCAGATGAGTCTGGTATGGTTCTGGTTCAGTCTGGTTCTGGTGATGCCATGTCATAGGCATCAAAGAGAAGTGAGACGTCTCAGCTGACATTACAGAGCAGTCAGCAACTAGCCTGAATTTCTCCCTGACTTGATGAGTTTGGACTTGGTTGTTCAGTTTCCAGGGTACTATGTTTTGATTTTCTGTAAACAACTTCTTCCTGTAGTATGTGTTTTTCTACTGCATCAGACCTCACTTCACGTAGCTCTGAGCTCACCACCCTGCCCCATTTCTAATCTGTTCCAGTCTTTTTGTTCTCTCTCTCCTCACGTGGAAGTTTTCTCCAGCCCATGTTGTTAGCATCTGTCCCTGGAGCCTGTCCTCTTCAGCTCAGTTTGCCCTGAGGCTGAGGGGGAGTTGGCATGACTAGCATATGCCATAGATTTACCAAATGGGACATAACCTCCTAAGCATGACTTCCTTCCTGGCTGTACATTGTGGCATGGTCCTTGTTTTTAGCCACTCCATGAGCCATCCGTAGCACTTTTGTGGCCACTGCAGGTCTGAAGGGAGCTTATTTGGCAGCCATGGGAGCCACACTGCCAGCACACATGCCCACCTTCCCTACTGCTGCAGCTGGGGATGCGGTCAGGCTGTCGGCACATGAGATCACATCCAGCACGGATACTCCCTGGAAGCCAAAGTGTTGCTTAGTAACCCACTCATGGAAGTACCAGAAGCGTTTTTCAATCTGTCACGTTGGTGAAAAGCACTGGCTTCTTGATTTAGAGGCATTCTGCTGTGTGTAGCAGGGCTGTGCTCCATTACCTTGCATCCAGTGCTATCTGCAAAGAGGGAATTAATCGCACTTTCTTGGAGGGGCTGGGAGGAAAAAGCCACAGAAAGGATTTGCCCAGCATTGCGTGTGAAGCCTTTAGTCTGTTCTCCTGACATCCAGACCTCGTCTTAACTCCCTTCCTGTGGGAGATATTCCCTCCTTATGGAAGTGCACTCCAGGGTCCTATAGCAATTGGCCAAGTAGGATCCTGCAGCACCTTCATCTGATATGAGACATTACTGCAATAAAACATGGTGTGTCATACAGAAATTGGGTGAGGTATTGCAGTATTTATGTTGTAAGCCTCAGTGTCACGGACAATTGCTACAGAATAATGTATGTCTTTTTTTAATGCAGTGGAGTCATAGCAGCTTCACAAGAGCACACAGAGCACAGACCATCTGGGATTACATGGCTTCCTCAGTTGTTTTCAAATTATTGTGTTATCAAGAATTAAATGAATAACATCCTCTCGTTTAAAAATAGACTAAGGGCTTTTAGGTTACTTCCCTTCTTTTAAGATTAATTCAATTTGGGGGCAAAATGTCCAAGAACTGTGTTCTGACTTGAAAGACTTGCTTCTTTATCTGGTTCTGGTTTATCCTTAAAAATGGCTTCAAGAAATAACTGGAGGGCTTTTTTTTTTTTTTTTTTTTTTTTTTTGGTGATACTTTATTGATTTTTGCTATCAAACCTCCTCAGGAAAAAGGTATTTATAGAATGTCTAGCTTTGAGCTCTGGTGTCCAGCTGGGCTCTTCCCATCCTGCTTCTTGTCACAGTGAGTGAAGTCATGATCTGTATCAAGATACTGTATGACCCATTTTTATCTGTGTTCCTCAAAGCCCTCTGCAAAAACTGAAGGTGTTTTAGGAAGGGCACTGGGGGTCCAAAGTGACCTGAAGATCGGGTTGTCTGACAAATATTCCTGAGAGGCTCTTTCAGTCTTCAGGGATCCTCTTACCCATGACCACAGCACAATTGGGGTATGCCATAGATTTACCAAGTGGGAAGTGACTCTTATCCATTCTCAGTACTGTGGTGATGAAATCATCAAGGTTTGTTTCCTGTGCGAATCCCTTTCTGCAAAGGGTCAGTGACAGGCACAACAGCCATGGTCTAAAACTTAATGCGGAACAAAGATGAAAAAACATCCTGCAACATGAGAAGATCCCAATTTGATTTCTGAAGGATTTCTGAGGAAGTAAGTACAACATTCCTATTGTCCTTACTACTCTGATAGTTAAGTTTGGCTATGGGATACAATCTAT